CAGGACTTTCGGAAGGATGGATGGCGGGATGAAGTGCGATTCCTGCATGTCCTTCTGCGTTGTATGTAAATGAGATATTTTGCGGTCTGGGCACCCATGCTCCCAGCGACGAGGCACGTACAAATTCAAATGCGGTTGAAATCTGCATTAACTATTGCAATTAGTGCGAAATTTCGTATAAATTATGTAAAGAATAGTTTTTGGCACAGAGTTTTCTATGAACTACGCGACTGCGTCTGTATGTTGTTGGTTAGATTTTGCGTTTGAAAAATATTTTAGCCAAATGGTTTGTTCATTTGCTCGTCCGTCCGCCCAATGTGTACATATTTGTGGGCGTGGCACGGCATTGTTTGCCATTCGGCAGCCAGTCGGTTTCTGCATTATGCAATTGAATTTAGAATCTAATAATATTTAGAGCGATTTCAATTGTTCGGCCAGCTGCATCGGCTTATACACTTGTCCCATTGTTTTTTTGTTTTATACGATCTAATTCTTCTTGTTAAGGTTCAGAAAATGTTAACATGGCACGTTTCTAGCTTTTAGATCTTAACCAAATGGTATAGCCATAGTTCTCATAGTTTTATTATTAAAATATTAATTTTGAGATTACAAATTCATTAAATTCTTTGAATTTAAACTCATCCATATTCATTTAAACACGAACCGAGTTGTCTAAACCTGCCGGCTGACTTGGTTATGTTTATAGATTTATTCGAACTACTATTTTTCCCGTTCCGCAGGATAAATAGGATACATTTTTTGTGAACAATGTGGCGTATGCGTGATATTTGGCTGTCTATCATTTCCCCGCTCACTCAATGAGCTCTCTTGTTGTTCTGTCTGAATGGGTGAGCCTTCCTCACTTGTTTGTTGTAAATTTCATTTAGATGTGCAATTAAATTTTAATTAGCCTGCCTCTTTCACTTCCATTCACGCATCTGCGCCAGTAGTGGAATTTGGGGAAGAGCTTTCGCAAATATGGGGCCATGTATGTTTCTAGTTATTATCGAAATACCTTTAATTAGGGAAAGTTCTTTTTAGGGATTTCGTGCCATTATACCCTTGATGTGTGCGCTTTAATTTGTTTTCATCCAGTGTTTGTTCCGCATTCGCAAGCATTTTCAATGTGCTCCGGTATTTGGTTGCCATTTGTGGAGCAACCTTCAGCTGGTAGCTATTCCCATTTAACTGTAATCAATTAATTCATTATTATTCGTATGCTGCTCTCAAAAAAACCTGCCACTTTGCTTTATTGCATGTTGAAGTAGTTTTTCATTATTGGCTCTACCTTGTTGCACACAGTCGGGGGGATCATTAAGTTCACCAGGGGGACTCCAGGGGGCAAGTGCACAAAGTTGTCGGCAAGTTTTCCAAGGTAATTCACAGGTAACTTAGCTCTGCTTCTTTTACTTATCCCCTACACAGAAAGGTATTCTGCTCAATTTCAGTTTGTTTGAAGGCCTCTGGGGAAACATTTCAAACAAGATATCTGAACCAGAGCAACTGAGGCCTTTAAGGAATTACTGCCGACGTGCTTCCTGATGCCACTGTAAGGAACGAGACTTCTTACGATCACTTAAATAGATGGATAGATAGATAGGTAGATAGATAGATAGATAGATAGATAGATAGATAGATAGATAGATAGATAGATAGATAGATAGATAGATAGATAGATAGATAGATAGATAGATAGATCGATAGATAGATAGATAGACAGATAGATAGATAGATAAATAGATAGATAGATATATAGATAGATAGATAGATAGATAGATAAATCAGTATGTAGATCTAATAAATAAATAAACTGGAAATGCTATTTAAAAAAAATATATACTTATATTATGATTACCTGTAAGCTTTAAAAATTAATAAAATGTAATAGAGAGTTTAGCTGTGGACCATTTATTCAATGTATAACTGGTACATTTGCAGTGGCACTCATTTTGTTTATTTCATTTATTATTTATTATTTTAAAGCCGATGAAACTGGTTTCTGGTAAGGTGAGACTTTCAATAAAAATTTACTCAAATACAGGTTATTCCAATAACAATAAGCAGTGTGTGTGCTGTGGCCACTCTGATGCTTTATACGACAAATGTCATAACAATTGATGTCCTTTCAAGCCCTTTGATTTGAAAGGTAAGAACGGAAAACAACTTGTATCGATTGCGGGCTAAAATGAAATTGTGTCCTGTGCACACATTGAACGCTGTTTTTATACTGTCGCTGCCATTTTCATTACATTAACCGTTTGCCAAACCATTCAACTTGCCACCCAACTGTTTTTTTCACCACCCACCACAATGCGCATCGTTTACCTGGTTTTCTGTTTGCTTGTATTATTGCGCCAGTTAGTGCTGTTATTTTTATTATTTGCTGCCTTTGAAACAGTTTTACAGCGCTGTTTGTTGATTTTCCAGTTGCTGATGCTGCCACTGATGCGACAAGCCCCCCCCTGTGAGCCCCTAATCCACCCAACTGGCCTGTTGAAAGGAGCAAAAGTTTCACGCTGCTGTTGTTAAAAACATCACAAGTAGACTTTTGGCGTAGAATCGCCAACAGCAGCAGGTGGGAGCAGAGAAAACGGGCAATCGAACAGCGTCCTTTTCGATCACAACTTCCGGTTTAACTGGGCACAGCTCGAAATCCGCTCTTAAAGTCCAATCACCCGCATCAATCAATTCAGCATATGATAGTCTCGAAAAAAAGCAAATCCAGACATTTCGACCCTGTGCATCTCATCGCTGACCCCGCTCAACTTCGACAGGTCAGAGCGTTTTTATAAAGCCATAAAATATACACAAACTAACTCAAAGGTCGGTCTCCACGCACTCGCACATGCATTATTTTTCGCCACGGGCAAGATGGCCCCAACGATTGGGGGCAGAAGTGGGCTTAAATGTGGGCAGGGATGGTCTACAGCCGGAGACCGGAGACCGAAGACTGTCAACGGCCTGGCTGGGGCCACCTTTTCAGGCAAGTATAGACGGAGAAGTGCTTGAGAAATTTCAGCTGAAGATTATGGCAGAAAAATCGAATAAAAATCAATAAAGGCACATTTTGTTAAAGATCTTAAAGATACGTTCTCATATTCTCTACCAATACTTCCATTAACAATATATTTTGGTAAGCATCGGGTTTGTTTTGGTTTAAGCATCAACGAATAAACAAATTCTAATGTCTATCAACCAAAACAAGATAAGAGTCAAAGGGTTATTTGCCAGACTATCTCCTTGTTTCAGAACCCACCGATCCACTCTCGCTTTTCTAGCTTTTTGAGTTGTTGCTCGTGCCGAGCTTTTTCGTTGGCCAAAGCGGCCTGCTTATGTTTGGTTTATGTTTGTTTTTTTGCGGCCCATTCTCAGTTTCGGACTTGGGCTCACCCCGAAAGATTTATGTGCGTAAATTTCATGCTGACGGCATCAGGTGATTTAACACTTTAGATAACTTGGAACAGTTTATAGTCGGAGACGAGGACCCACCCATTTTGCCTGGCTCTGGAGGCTTACAAATGTCGAGGACGCTTGGGTGAACGCTGAGGATGGGTGAAAAGTTGTATTTTTATTATTTTATTTTATTGCGCTTACATCTTTAAATAAGTTTGCTTTGGCTGCCCCCACTTATTGGGTGTGTATTGGGGTCCTTTTGTTCGGAGATCTGCCCTTCGGAATTGATGCGTCTTTTGGGGTCATAAAAATTACAAAAAAAAAAAAGAAAAACGAAGAAAATTCGCTCGCCTTTTTGGGCTGATTGCTGTGTGCGATTGAGCACAGGTCCCAGATCCCCTGGAGTTTCGTTTCGTCCTTTGCTGCTTGTGCTTCTGGTGTCCTTTTGTTTGTTTGTTGTCCAGATAGGATATAAATTATATTGAGCGCTTTGAATTAGTTTTTTATGTGCCACACATGTAGTGAAAATGAAATTAGATACGTGTTGGGTACGAGTTAATTTGAAGGCACAGATTTGCTCTCATCCCAGAACGAAAAAACTTTTCCTTGATTTCTCTTCGATTGATAACTGAGGGGAACTGAGGCAAGGGATCCCAGTCGGGGGCATATTTAAAGAGTTTACTTTAGTTGCACAATGCTCAACAATTGCGAACTCCATGGGGGAAAGTTCGCCCTGCAATCGTTGCAAGCACTACCAACAATGGCAAGCAATTACCAAAATACAAAAAAATACTACAGCAAAAAACCGAACCAAATACAAAAAATAAAGGGGGGAGATTGCGAAAATTCAACTCCAACACGAAAAGGGCAAGCGCGAGAAAGGAAACGCAAAAAGCGAAAATAACATGGAATTGTTAAGGAACTGCAAACTGCAAATCCATTAAACCACAACAAGAACAAGATGCAGAAGGATGCGGATGAGGATGAGGATGAGGTTGAGGTTGGGGATAAGGACCAGGATGAGCGGAGCCCAGCGGAACCGAGCAGAACTCTGAACTACAGTAGGTATTGAATCGAAATGGGGAACGCTTCGACACAATTGACTGAAAATTGTTTGTTAAATGTGCAAAGCGTTGAGCATCAGCATCACGAAGGACATTTGTAAATGTATTTTTTTCGGATTAGCCGAAACGGCTTACATTCAATCACCCTAAACAATTTCCTGAACAGATTGAACTTTGTTTCTCATGCATTTTAAATCAAATCCATCTGAAATATTTCCATCGCTCTCATAGTTGCATTCAGTACCATAAATATGAGATACAATTTTTTAAGCTTATCAAACCGACCGAGAGTATAACTTTTTCACCTAGGTTTTATTTTCAGTTTTATGTCTGAATTTATTTGTTCTACATGGGTACTTACGTTTTTTCTAATTGCCAGGTTACAAATCTCAATATTATTGCTTTATAAGTTCGAACAAAATGTAAAATAAACTATTATACGGCCAAGCTATAATTCGATTGAAATGCCTTTTAAGTGCTTTTAACCTTAACCAATTTCATTTTCAACTCACTTGAGGCCAATAAATTCAGTTTCAATCGCCTGCTACCATTATGAACTTGTATTTTTTCGTCATTCTGGGTAAGCCAGAGATTTCGACTTTCTAGATATTTAAATCATTCCTATTGTTCATCGAACAGCTTATTTGCTGGTCGGATTTGTGTGGGGACAAAATTGCAACAAGCCTTGCGGAAAATGCATTCTGCCTACCTGCAACTTTGATGGAAAATGTTTCTTTGAGGGAAGCAGCGCTTGTGCTCTGGAAAACGAAATTTGCCGACGAAAAAAGGAAAAACTTGCCAGTGAGTTTTCTGTTTAAAGGGCTTTTACCAGATTTGATCTTCTTTTAAATATTTTTAGAATTCATAAGAACCGTGTCTGGGTTCTGTGAGCCGGATGTTAAAATGTGTAAGACCTAAATACAATGTTTTCAATTGGAGTATAACAAAAATAAATCTATATTAAATTGTTGTTTCTTTTTGCCTAATTTTTCGCTGCTTAGTTCATCGAGATTTAAGAAAGAGGGAGTAATTTTCTAATCATAACGAAATTTCGTCGAAATGCAATAATCTACTGGCAGTGCCTAAAGTCCAATTGCTACCTAGTTTGGCCAATGAAAACCCCAAGAAGACAAAGATGAGGTAGATTTCACTTTGCCACTCAAGCCCCAGAAAAAGAAAACCCAAACGAAACGAAACGAACCAAACCGAGCCACCCAACTATGAAAAATTTAAACTTTGCATCCAAGCCATTTATTCATCCCACTTGGCATCTGCCATCATATCTTAGCATGCGGTTCTGGCTTCGTCCCGAGTTCCCTGCCCACTTTCTGCATCTTTAAGCCTCCATCTATATCTTGAAGCATCACAGTGCTTTTCGGATCTTGGGCAGTTTGGGGTGCACCTTAAAAATTAATTGAAACATCACTACCGGCTAATATTGTAGATTAAAAACAGCAAAAGCAAAAACTGTGCTGGGTAAGGGGACCCAAATGGGCCGCATCTAGATGAGGCATATAAAACTTTTGGGGTTAACTGAGTGCTCTAAAAACTGCCAGGAACTTGCAAATTGCTAGTATGCTTGGCCATTTATCAGTCTTAGTTGTGGGTTAGTTGGAAAGAATGTTCCACAATAAATTCGAACAACAAATTTGGCTCCTTCTGGAGTTTATTAGCTGGCAGCCGGAATTTTGCGGTCAAAGGGCGACCTGAACTTGAATCTGGCCGGTCCGTTCCCGCAACCCTGCCCGTCCGCCTATCGTACATCCATCTTCGTCTTTGCCCCCATCAACTCACTGTCTAGTTTGGAAAATCTTTGAATACTCCGCCTGATGACAGCGGCATTGCCAGGTGGCACATTAATTCCGGCTCAGGCACGGCGCATGCCCAGTTGCTCCGGTAATCGTGGGTCTTCGGGCTTTTGGACTCTCCCATCAGCGAGACGGGTCGTTGGCGACTGGCTCTTCGGGAGCTTGGGGGCTTCGGTTTTGGGTCTGTTGCGCCTAGGACAACAATTTCCGTGTTGCATGCCTCGCCGTCGGGTGATCTAAAAACGAAGCGAGTGTCGAGGTCGCCAATGTGCCATAAAATGCGCATAATGTGGCACGGATGTGCCAGTGCACGTTGGTAATTTGGCGCGTGAGCATCGCCGAGTATCGTGTATCTTGCCCCAGTGGCAGACCGTATTGCTGCCGTAATGTTGCTGGTGTAGCGGCAACATCTCGTACCACTAGCCGGCTAGATAAAATCGCAGTAATGGTGACCACAAATAGTTGGGCTTTGACAGCCACAAAGCATTAACCAGATATCGAATCGGTCAAGATCAAAGTAATCAAGCGGTGATTTGCAAAGTGAAGTGATCAGTAATCAAAACTCAAGTGGCAAGAAAGCACAAAACGCAAGCGGAGGAGAGAAAAGTAATCTAGGCACATGCAACAACTGGATACGGATACCCTGCTCAAGCCTTGAAAGCCGCCGACCCACGAAGCCACCCACAAGTCAAGTACGTAACAGATTGATGAGCGAGTCGCCGTCGCCGTCGCTGCGTCGAGGAACCACCCACTCACTTACCCTCCACATCCACCTCCACCTCCACCGCCTTTCCACCTCCAGAGGCATGAACCACTCACCCAACCACCCACTCGACCAGCCACTTGACTAAAAGTTCAATTTCCTGCAAGATGCTTTAATTGAAGCGCACAGTAAACAAGGAACAGCAGCAGCGAAACACAGAAAACAGAGTGGGCAAGGGTCACTCGGCGCCTTGGGTGCCTTCGCTCTGGTCAGTCATTAGTCATTTGCTCATTTCCGCAAACGCAGCCCGGATGTGCAGCACTTGTCAGCCAATAAACAACCTCGACGGGGGCGCTGGACGCCTGGGTGGGTGGATGGGTGGTGGGTGGTGGGTGGTGTGTGACCCACCCACTCTCCCAATTAAATGTGGCAAACATATCAGCGTCAATCACCGATTCTGATGGCCAGGTCAGTGCATCCTCCTGCGCTGGCGTGTCCACAGATCGGCTGAGGCATCGGGAAAATGTCCCGGGGTATTTGCATTCAAGTCCAAGGGATTGGATGGAATATCGATTTGGTCATGGATCGGTTTGGACTTTGTGAAGCTCTTAATTTGGCACTCAAGTGTTGGGCACCGCCGACTTGCAATGATAGTAGTTTGTCTTATTGAAAGCCATTGATAAACTACAGCCATTTGACAAACATCTGAGATAACAACTAAGACTCATTATTTTGTTTGTATTAACTTCAAAGGAGTGCGGTTTTCAAATGCAGTTCCCAAAAATATTGGAACATGTTATAATTAGTAATAATTTCAACAATCATAAATGAATATATGATAAGTATAATGGGACAAGCAGGGACAACATTTTTAACCAATTTCAAATAGATACAAAAGAAATATACAGGTTCATATAAAGATGATTGTTTAAGGCAAGGATTAAAAAACATCCTAAGATTTCGCAACAAATAACTTTGTGAATCCGTGTCTATGGCCTTTAAGATGATGGTAAGAAAAAGTGGGACGAGCTGGGAAATCTGGGGAAGGTGTGCTGCAGTGGGCGTGGCAGAGTGGGCGAGTGGGCGTCGGCGGGAGGCGTGAGGAGTGGACTGCATATGTGTCATACATTGAGTTTCTCGGACAACAATAACCAAGACGGACAGGAGCAGGGTGCATCGTTCAGAAAGAGCAAAAACGGTGCATAGGTGCTAAAAAAAAGAAAGGAAACAACGAGGAGCAACAATGGCACGGAGGTGGGGCAAGATGGGGACAGTTGGGGGAGTACCCAAGCTAACCCAGTTTTTTCGACGCTGGCTCTTCACGGCTCAGTTTTGTTTTGGGCCTACTTGTTTTTTTGCACGCTGCTTGGTATATTTCTTTTTATGGCTTTTACGAACTGCCCGCAAAACAACGACGACGAGGAGGAGGAGGAGGAATAACCAACCTCCTGACAGCAAAAGAAACAAAAATATTTCGACCAAAAACTGCCAGACTTGTCCAAAAGCAGCCACCGCCGCCCATTCCTTTGGCTGAAACCTGTTTTGTAATTGCTGTGTTTTTATTCCGAGTATGCGTGTTGATGCGGATTTCTTTGGCTTTCCCAGCGTTTTTTTCTGGGCCCTGGCTTCTTGCCCGGGCCCATTGTCACGTAAATCTGTGACAGAAATTAGCCTCGTTGACAAAAATATGCCTGCTTACACATTATTTGTACAAACAAATAGACGGGCAACAGTTAATGGCTGGCAGAGTGTCCTCCTCGGGTTGCCTCTGGCTTCCATGGGCTCTGTTCCTTGGGTTCTCTGTGGGGTGTTGCAGATACATGGAGAAATGGTCTGGAGAAATTTGCATGGGAACTGCGCCAGTTGACGCTGTTGTTTCTTGGCCTCTTTTGGGCAAATTCCTCAGCTAGTTTTGTGGCTGTCGTCCTGTCGCCTTTTCTTCCTCGCACTCGCCTTGTTTTATTGATCTGTTTATGCTTCAGGACCTCTGGCCTTAGATTTCCCCAGCCCAGCAAATCTCTGTCCAACCCTCATCATGCATAAAACAAACAAAAAAAGTTTTATTTGTGGACTACTAAAAATGCAAAAAAAAGAAAAACAAAAGCAAGAGATGCCGGGATCGCAAATGTGTTTTTCGGGGCAAAGTTGTGCCTAGGTTAATGACCAGACAGGCGTGAAGGCAATCATAAACTGAGTTCATTTCAGCCTCCCACTTCGCACTCGAAGTTAATTTTCCTTGACCAGCGGGTCGGGATCGAAAGTTTACTCTAGCTCTTAATCAACTCATTATAATGAACACCAGGTTGAGAGAACGAAAATATCCATTAAATTATTTGGTTGCCTTGCGGCACTTTGGGTGATTGACTTTATGGCGTTTTGATCTGATTTTTTCAATAAAATATAATGGGAATAATAAATTTAATTTATGCACATAAACAATTAGTGCTATAGAAATGTATGCATGTTCATACTTAATTATACCCTTTACTTTTAGATTAAACTGGTATAAAAAGTGCGCTGAAAGCTGCTCTCTCTTTCGACTGTTTTTAAAATGACTTAAATCTCTAGTACCCATTTAAAACTTTTTTACTAATACTTTGGCTTACTACAATTAACATACTTCTGAAGGAAAGAATTATTATCCTAGAAAAAGCGAAATGGCCCAGAAAGCTAAAGTCGAAAGTCAAACAACGTCTACAATTTCCAATCGAACGCAGACCCCTAATTACTAAGAGCTAACCTTAGTCACACAAAATACAGAGTAAATCTATCATCTATGGGTGTTCTCCTGATTATCAGGAAACTCTGGCCAAGCCGGACAACAAAATGATTGATGTCCACTACAAAATTTTCAATGTATCCAGCCCCCTGGAAAATGGTCGGTTTATTTAGGCTATAAAGCAGCTTTTCCTACGTTTCGTAAACGTTGGCCACATGAACAGTGCGAGCCAACGAACCATTCGGATTTATGTCACAGCAAACTGATTGATTTTTAATTAAACGTCCACGTTTTCACTGATTGACGCTAATCATACGCTTGATGGGCTTAAGCTCGGCCACGCCCCCACTTAAGGAGGGGCTGGCTAAATAAAACGAGCATTTCCCACTTTAATTCGAGCACAATGTATGGGCCACACATACTGCGGAAATTAGATATTTATTGAGCGAGGCGTTGTCAGCCAAACCAATTTCAAAGGTATTGGCCCAACGCGAAGGGCATTGAAACGGGAAGCGTGTGGAAATCGAATATTATCCAGATAGTGCCAAAGATCCATTTACGTGACTCGGAAATGCAAATAAAAAATACAAAAAAGAGTGGAAAAAGCGCTTTCCGAATGTTTTTGTTGCCTTATTTTTTATTGAATTGTTAGGGTGGTGGGCGGACCGGCGGGAAGGGCAGACCGACATAAATAAACCTCAACTAAGTCGTGTGTTTTGACATAGATTTAAATTGACATGGTTGTGTAAACAGAGC